CATAGATGTATTCTCTCATATCTAGGCCCAAATGTACCACTCACAGTTTATCAGAGTGAGCTGAGCTCATGGCGTAGATCTACGGTTTGGACCCTGAACGTAAAGCCGTAGATCTACGGGACGGACCCTGAAAGGGTTAACGATGATATCGGATAGTGATAAAATCGGATATCGAGGCGTTTTTGTGTCAAAATATTGGCTCAGTTAACTATGAAAAACTCAGTTAAGGACATTCGTCCTGAACGTGTCCGTGCTGCCTGAGACCATGTAAAACCAGTGTGCCATTGTTTACAAGCCAGGGAGGACAATTCCATGCATACATGCGATATATTTTCTATTATTCCAGTTTTTAGTGCTTGTAACTGCTAAATAAGCCACCATGGGCCCAAAGAAAGTTTCTAGTGTCAGCCCTGTGATAAAGGAAAGAAACAATAAAATTCAAGAAAAAATCATAGCAAAGTACAGTACCAAAGTGGAGGAGGAAGAGAGAGAGGGGAGAATGTGCCTTCTGCAACGATTCAGTGATTCTACGATATGTACGATACTAAAGCAGCAGGTATCGATAAAGGCTATAGTGCCAGCCAGCGATAAAGTGTAGAATTAACAGTGTAGCAAGTAAGTTACGAGTAAGCAATAGAAAAAACAACACGAAAGTAACTCTCCAGTGTTGCTGGACGTGTATCGGGCCAATGAACATACGCCGGACTGCTACACATCTTCCACTACCCTAAACCTCTGCCAGCATCTCCTCCATCGAACTAATTAAACTAACATCTCCTCCAAGGTAAGTGTAAATATAAAAGTGTAAGTATAAAAGTAAATATAAGTGTAAGTATAAAAGGACCTCAATGGAAAGAAGTCACTGACTTTTTTGGGTTATCCTAGATACTTTACACATATGCTGCTATGCATGATAATCTATTTACGTAACTATTTGTGTATACCTGAATAAACTTGCTTATTTATAAATTAAAATGTAAATATTTATTTATAAATATTTACATTTATAGTGGTGGTGGCAGAAGCCTCCTCCACCACTAATATGTATGGCTTCTCTCAGTGGCCATTATAAATTCAACAACACTTCCACCATTTATACTCACATACATTATGACATTTTATTCATTCTAGAGTATATATACTTGTTATTAATATTGTTTATGTCATATTAGATGAATTGTGATAGATAAATAAGCCATAGAGATGATATCAGCGTCATACTGAAACATAATTAAACTCTCCCTTTCCCTTTATTTTTTTTTTTTTGCCCGACATCCCTGCATGTCCCCCTACCTCCTGATGTCCCCCACACTCCGCATGTCCCCTACACTCCCTATGTCCCCCTACACTCTGCATGCCCCTACCTCCCCCATGTCCCCCTCACTCCCCGCATGTCCCCTCACCCTGCATGTCCCCTACACTCCTGCATGTCCCCTCACTCCCCGCATGTCCCCTCATCCTGCATGTCCCCCACATCCTGATGTCCCTACCACTCCCTGCTGTCCCCCCAAATCCCTGCATGTCCCCCCACACTCCCCCATGGCCCCTACACTCCCCGCGTCTCCTACATCCCGCATGTTTCCCCTACATCCCTGCATGTCCCTACACTCCCCGCTGCCCCTCACTCCCCGCATGCCCCCTAAACTCCAAACTAACTACTAATTAAACTAACACTCCCCAAAATAAATGCAAATATTTTTATTTTAAATTTTAAAATTTAAAAAATTTTTTTTTAAAATTAGTACGTATATCGTTTTTTTTCAGGGGGTTCGAAAAGGGGATAACGAGGGTTGAAAATATAACACTTTTTGGACAGTAAAATATACAGTGGACCCGATAACAAATTAATCCGTTCCGAGAGCTCATTGTTTCGAAAAATTTTCGTTTTTTGCGAATGAATTTTCCCCTAAAAAATAATGGAGTAAATTAATCCGTGCAAGACACCCAAAAGTTGAAAAAAAAAAATTTTTTTCCACATGAAAAATGCATTTTCCCACAAAAAAGAGAAAGGGAAATGCACAATAGTGGTAGTACTTGCCAATATACGTGGATCCCCCGGGTTAAAGATATTTTTTTTTACTCCAGAAGTATGTTTAGGTGCCAGTCTGACCGAATTTGTTTCCCCTAAGAAATATTGGGGAAGTAGATTAGTCATTCAGACCCCCAAACATAAACGTACAAACGCACTTACATAAATACACTTACATAATTGGTCACATTGGGAGGTAATCGTTATGCAGGGGTCCACTGTATATTGTGCATGTACGACTCTACTAAATGAAGATTAAATGACACTTACCTTTATTGAAGATGCAGCAATGACTGATGAGACACTGTCCTGGGAGTGCCTTTTCCTCCTGAGTACTGTAGGTCCTGTTTGGCATTTTCTTCCAGAACATGCCTTATCACACTGTGTATGCCACTACGATTCTTAAATCTCTCAAACCAACCTTTGCTGGCTTTAAATTCACCAATATGAGCACTAATTCCAGGCATTTTTCCCTGTTCACCTGGGTGTTAGTCGATTGGTGTGGGTTGCATCCTGGGAGACAAGATGGAAATAAGTTAGACAATGGAAATAAGTTAGACAGTCTTCGATGACACTGACTTTTTTGGGTTATCCTGGGTGGCTAACCCTCTGGGGTTAATTGTTTCTTTGTATTCTCAATACGCCACACCAACAACGGTGCAACAACAGCAGCTGACAGTGCTACAGCAGCAGCAGCAGCTGACAGTGCAACAGCAGCAGCAGACGGTGCTACAGCAGCAGCAGATGGTGCTACAACAGCAGCAGATGGTACTACAGCAGCAGCAGCAGCAGCAGCAGCAGCAGCAGCTGACGGTAGTACAGCAGCATCAGCAGCAGTTGACCATGGTACCCCAGTATTTCGATAATATTTCTCACCTTTTTTACCACAGGGTTGGCACTAGAAGCTTTCTTGGGGCCACTGTCACTTATTTTGCAGATAAAATCACCAAAAACACTGTAATAATACGAAATGTTCCGATTGTATGCTTGGATGTTACCGCGGAGGCTGGCTGGTAAACAATGCCACCAGCGGAACATGTGATGCTGGCTCAGGCCACACATTAGATGCATCTCGGACAAATAGCGTTGAGCGGGTTTTTTAGCAGTATGCGAGGCAAAATCTTAGCGATAAAATGTATCGGTATGCGGATTTAACGTTATGTGATGCCAACGGTATGCGGGGGTCCACTGTATTGCAGAATGTGAGAAAGGGGAGCCCAACCTGCCGTGTGTTGCCTGGTAGACCTATGCGTGGACTGAGAGCGAGGTAGCACATCCCACGCACTCATGCCGCATCCAGTGATGTCATACAAACAGTCACTAGGCCCCAGCAAAAGGGTCGTGTATGTAAAACACACAGATGGTACTATGATACACAGATAAGCTATACAACACATGTAGAGGATCAGCAACTATGCTGACAGTTTGTGGATAGTGGTGTTGGCAGAAGCCTCCTCCACCAATAATATGTACAGCTTCTATCAGTGGCCATTATAAACCCAACAACACTTCCACAATTTATCCTCGCATACATTATGACATTTTATTCATTCTAGAGTATATATCATGTTTCTATGTTATTAATATTGTTTATTATGTCATATTAGATGAATTGTGATAGATAAATAAGCCGTAGAGTTAGTTGATAATAGCGTCATATTAAAGTACTATTCTGTCATGCCTAATGATTGGATTTCCATTATTTCTTAAGGGGAAAATTAAATCGGATAACGATAAAATCGGTTAAGGACAAGCTCTCTGGAATGGATTAATATCGTTAACTGAGGGTTCACTATACTTTTTTAATCAAGTCTTGCTTCATCAGAAATATCACTCTTAACCCCTTTCAGGGTCGAGAGGCCCTCTCCTAAACTTGGTCTCAGGGTTGAAAATTTTTCCAAAAAAATAATTATTTTTTTTTTCTTATGAAATGATAGAGAATCTTTTCCCCATCATAATGACACCAAAAGTATGAAATTTGATGGAAAACTTACGGAATTATGCTCTTGCAAAGTTAGCGGTCTCTACGATGTTTACACATCGGCGATTTCGCTCACTTTGAGCCCTATTTTCGGCCAATTCCAATGTACCAGTCGACAAAAATCATAGCTATTTCATTAGAACTTCACTTGTTCTATCGAATGATTACAAGAAACCGGCCAATTACTGATTTCAACTATCCAATAAAGTGGTCAGAAATTGGCAATTTTGCCAATTTCACACAAACTTCAAAAGATGCCAATTTTAAAATAGGGTCCAGAATAAACAAGACACATTCCTGGCACTAAAATAACATTTTCTCAGTCAATTAGTCACGTCTCCAGGCCCTTCTTACATTTATTTTGCTTTCCACTTTGAACTTTTAGTCTTACAAAAAACAAAAGATTTACTGTTATGCAGAAAGAATATTTGACTCGCCAGCTGACGTGTATTTGATGTGTGGCATTGTTTGTTTGCTTTTGAATATTTGCAAAAATTGAACATTTCTGCTACTTTGAGCTCAATTTCAAGATACTTTTCACTGCGAAACCAATCAAAATCATCTCAATTTCTGCAATATGTCTTCCATTCTATAAAGATAGAGACCAAGAAAACGAGAATAAAACCATAAATACCATACAAAAATACACTGCAAAGTCGCTGTTTTAAACCAAAAATAAGGTCAGTTTCTTTTTTTCTCATTATGCACTGTGTGCTGCAGGATTTTTTTTTTTATACTGTGCACTGACCACGCAGACCCATTCTTTCATATGTAGGCCTACCAGCTTTTTCTTGCTAGATCTGAAGGCGCTAAAATTTACATGTACTAGTACGGCACCAACCCTGGTGTGCAAGCTGTACTAGTACAACACCGACCCTGAAAGGGTTAAAGAATCTCTAACTTGTATATAGACAGACCCCTGTATGTTACATCCTTATTTAAATGTTCAGAACAAAAATGACTGAACAAACATCAATAAGAGATAGTTACCAGCTACCATGAAGGGAGCATCACGAGCTTTCCGGGCTAAGCGCTCGGAGTGGGTTTCTCCGTGGTGAGACATGTTGCTTCCTCCTGCAACGACAAATATTTTATTAATAAACAGCATTTCATTACAAAAATTATTCTGCTAGAACAATGAGGCAGATGTTCAAAAGGTACATTTATTTTAATACAAATACAAATTTTACTACTTTGCATAGTATACAATGCAAGATTTACACATTATAAAATATTGTTAAGCACCAAGACAGCCGCCAGCATGCCTGTTATACAAGAGGCCTATGCTGATAACCATTACACGAGATACCTGTGACCAGTCGAGTTCTACATTCAGCCTTTGATATACCTTTGAAGAATTTCGAGTATATCTACTCTCTGAGCCCGGCCATGAGCCAGGCTTGTCTAGTGCTTGCTTGGTCAACCAGGCTGTTGCTGCTGGAGGCCTGCTGCCCCACATATCCATCACAGCCTGGTTGATCTGGCACCTGGTGAAGATACTTGTCTAGTTTCCTCTTTAAGGCTTCAACACTTGTTCCAGCAGTGTTTCTGATATCTTCTGGTAAGATGTTGAAAAGTCTGAGACCCCGGATGTTGATACAGTGTTCCCTTATTGTCCCCACTGCACCCCTGCTCTTCACTGGGTTTATTTTACACTTCCTCCCATATCTCTCACTCCAGTATGTTATGGCAGTGTGCAGATTTGGGACCAAGCCCTCGAGTACCTTCCAGGTATATATTATCATGTACCTCTCTCTTCTCCGCTCCAATGAGTACATGTTCAAGACTTGCAGGCGTTCCCAGTAGTTTAGGTGCTTTACTGGCTCAATGTGAGCCGTAAACGATCTCTATTTGTTCAAGCTCCGATATTTCTCCTGCCCTGAACGGGGCCGCCAGCACTGAGCAACATTCTAAGTGACGGAGCACTAGTGATTTGAAGCGTGTCACCATCGGCATTGTTTCCCTTGTTTTGAAAGTTCTTAATACCCACCCAGTCATCTTCCTGGCTGTCGTGATCTTTGTCTTGTTATGGTCTTTAAAAGAAAGGTCCGCTGACATAATTGTTCCTAGGTCTTTTACATGTTCATTACGTTCTATTTGGTGACCCTCTTGAGTTTTCTATATAGTGCTCCTACACCCACTAGGGTGTAGTGCTGCAGTGCAGAAAGTAGCTAGGGGCAGAGAGGATAAGAGGCAGAAATAAAGAGTGGTTGTGAGGAGTGCTAAAGGAAGTATTATCAAAGTGTGCAACAAGTTGGTTGCTATCAAAAAGTCAACAAGGGAGTCTGTCAAAGGTGGGGCCATCAGTAAGGAGGGAAGATAAAGTAAGGGTGCTAGAGCGGTGATGACATCAGAGGAAAATTTTGCATGTTCATTGATAGACAGGACAGTTCAAAAGAATATGGCAAACTGAAACTGGAACCAGACAAGTCTCACAAAGTGGAACAGGGTGCCTCTCCATGAGATACCCAAGAGTAAGATGGGTGTGCCAGATGCGAGGACAGGAGAGCATAGTCTCCGAACCTTGGCATCGATGACATGAAGGAGGCCAGAAACCTAAACTTGGTTTAACAGAATGTAACTTGTTATGAGGTATATTGGGCCAACACTGTTGCCAACGATTGCAAAAGTAGTTAGAAATTACAGCAAAATAGTCCGAGAATGGAATACGTCTATACTGGAACGAGAGATTTGGGAGGAAGTGCAAAATAAACCCAGTGAGGAGTAAGGGTGCAGTGAAGACAATAAAGGAACACTATCAACATCTGGAGTTCCAAACTATTCAACATCCTACCAGAAGATATCAGAAACACGGCTGGGACAAGTGTAGAAGCCTTCAAGAGGAAACTGGACAAGTATCTTCACCAGGTGCCACATTAACCAGGCTGTGATGGATATGTGGGGCAGCAGGCCTCCAGCAGCAACAGCCTGGTTGACCAGGCAAACACCAGACGAGCCTGGCCCATGGCCAGGCTGAGAGAGTAGAGAAGTTCTCGAAACTCTTCAAAACAAGTACTGTTGGCAGCACAGCCGAGTCTGACTCCTCATTGCCCTGAACATTAACATGACCAAGGACCCAACAGAAAACCATTTTTCTAGTTCTTTGTACACAAAGAACTAGAGGAAGAGGCGAATCAAATTTTTTAACAGCTTGCAAAGCGCTAAAGGAGTCCGAGACTACTACAAATGTTGAAGTAGGCACAGATGCAATACAGATAAGTGCAAAGAGAACTGCATATAATTCAGCCGTTAAAATACTAGCAGAGTAATAAATGACCTCGCATAATGCTGTCTGGAAACACTGCTGCAAACCCGACACTGTCAAGAGGATTTAGCATCATCAGTGTACACTGCAACAGCATGAGAATGAGATTGGAAGTAATTAAGAAAAAGAGCGAGAAGCAACTTTAGGTATTTGGGCTTTCATGCATGGTAGTGTGAAAGAACAAACACGAACCTCTCAATGGGGAAGTGAAAAGTTAAGATGATAGATGAATATATAAAAGGGGAGGGGGGGGGGGAGCAACTGGAGAGAGGACAAGAGCAAGTGAAGATGAGAAAAGTGACAGAGTAAACAGGGGTGGCGAACAAATAATGGACTACTACCATTCGTTACTATCTTGTATGTAGAGAAATTGTGAAGGTCATGACATCAGGCAAAATAGTAGAGGCAATGAGCAATACAGCAATTGCTTAAGGATGGAACATTCATTTCTAAATATAGGCTCTTAACAGGTGAGGAGCAAAAAGTGCCTAGACAAATGTAATCCCTGATGATGGATGGGATCAAGTTTAGAAAGTCACAGGAGAGGCCACTGAATATATCTAGTCACCACACTCTAGTTTTGATCAAATTAGGGCTGAATGCAGTCGAAAGAGTGTGCAACAACCCACCCCTAAGAAAACTGAGCGAGGGTTTTAATACTTTCAGGGTCGAGACCCTGATCTTTAACTAAAAAAAGTTATGAAATAGAGAATCTTTTCCTGATGGTAATGCCACCAAAAGTAAGAAATTTGATGGAAAACTTATGAAAATGACACTCTCGCAAGTTAGTAATCTCGGCGATAATTACACATTGACGATTTTGCCCACTGACCCCTATTTTCAGCCAATTCCAGTGTTCCAGTAGACTAAAACCATAGCTATTTCGCTAGAACTCCATTTGTTCTATCGATTGAGTGCAAGAAACTGCCCATTTACTGATTTCAACTATCCAATTAAGTGGTCAAATTGGCAATTTGGCCAATTTCACACAAATTTCAAAAGATGCCAATTTCAAAATAGGGTACAGAATAAACAAGGCAGACATTCTTGGCACTAAAATATCATTTTCTCTGTTCATTGGTCACGCTTTCAGGCCCCTCTTATATTACTCTTGCTTTCCATTTTGAATTTTTATTTTCACAAAAAACTGAAGATTTACTGTTATGCCGACTACTGCATTATTGTAATAATTATATAAATAATGTCAACCCATTCATGACTGCATTTTAGAATGGCCAGCTGGACACGTATTGGACAGCAACGTCATTTGTTTACTCTTGAACATCAGCAAAAACCAAACATTTCCGCTACTTTGAGCTCAATTTCAAGGTAGCTTTCATCGTGAAACTAATCAAAATAATTGCCATTTCTGTAACATATCTTCCATTCTATCAAATGAGACCAAAAAAACGAGAATACAACCATAAATACCATATGAAAATACACTGCAAAGTCGTTGTTTTAACCTTTTCAGGGTCGACAGACCCTCTCCTAAACTTTTTCTCATGGTCGAAAATTAAAAAAAAAAAATGAAATGATAGAGCATCATAATGACACTAAAAGTATGAAATTTGATGGAAAACTTACGGAATTATGCTCTCGCAAAGTTTACGCATTGGCGATTTCACCCACTGAGCCCTATTTTCGGTCAATTTCTATGTACCAGTTGACAAAACTCATAACTTTCGCTAGAGCCCCATTTTTTCTATCGAATGAGTATAAGAAACCACCCATTTACTGATTTCATCTATCTAATAAAGTGGTCAGAAATTAGCAATTTTGCCAATTTCACACAAATTTCAAAAAATGCCAATTTCCAAACAGGGTCCAGAATAAACAAGAGACATTCCTGGCACTAAAATAACATTTTCTCTGTTCATTAGTCACATCCCCAGGCCTCTCTTACATTTCTTTTCCTTTCCACTTTGAATTTTTCTCACCAAAAAAAAAAAATAGAAGATTTACTGTTATGCAGACTACTGCATTAGTGTAGAAATGGTATAAATAACATCAGCGCACTTGTGAAAGAATATCAGACTCGCCAGCTGACATGTATTGGACGCGTGGCATGATTTGTTTACTTTTGAACTTTGGCAAAAATTGAACATTTCTGCTACTTTTAGCTCAATTTCAAGGTACTTTTCATTGTGAAACGAATCAAAATCATCTCTTTCTGTAATATGTCTTCCATTCTATAAAATGAGACCAGGAAAACTAGAATACAACGTCAAATAGCATACAAAAATACACTGCAAAGTCGCTGTTTAAAGCAAAAACACGGTCGGATTTTTTCTTTTTCTCATTATGCACTGTGTGCTGCAGGATGTTTTTTATATTGTGCACACTGACCACAGACCCACTCTTTCATATGCAGAGCCTACCAGCTTCCTCTCGTTAGATTTGAAGGCGCTAGAGTTTATGCGTACTAGTAAGGCACCAACCCTGAAAGGGTTAAACCAAACAAAGGTTTTTTTTTTTTTATCTCATTATACATTGCGTGCTGCAGGATTTTTTTTATATTGCGCACAATGACCACGCAGACCCACTCTTTTATATGTAGGCCTACCAGCTTTTTTCCACCAGATTTGAAGGAGCTAGAATTTTGGGACCGACACTGAGAGGGTTAAGAAGGTTCAGCCAGCTATGACAAGTTGCTTTCAGGGAGGTAATGCGAGGTCTCCAGGAGAACCAGCAATCAAATAGTAGGCCAAGAAATTTAAACGTATCACTTTCGGGGATATGCGAGCCACAGAGGTACAATGGAGTATCAGGAATGGCAGAACATCTGGTTAAAGTAATTTGGTGTGTT